ATTTGATAAATTTGCAACCATATTTTTATCTTCCTCTTTAATTTCTGTTTCTATGATTGATGATTGTGTTTTGCTCCACTTCAATGAAAATATTGATCCAGCTGAATTTTTTTCAAAAGTGAGGCAATTTGCATGTTGTGAACCTATCAAAAAGTTTTGTAAAAGAATTTTCTTTAAGCTTGACTTTAATTGGATAACATTTGTATTATTATTAAAACCATTTTTGCCTCGAATACAAGCAAACAGCAGTTCTAGGTGATCTTGAGACATTTTGTAGGTCAACACATATTTAAACAAACTTTCCTATCTTGATGGCAAATAAAATGACAAGTCTCTGATACTTATTGCAGAGATAATAAAACTAATAACAAATATTTTTCTTCTATGTTTAAGAATTTTAGTCCCATATTTATCTGTTAAGTTAGCAAGATATTGAATTGCTTTTTCAATAATACCAAACCAATGGATTTTGTCATTAAGAAAGAGAGGTTTTTTCAAATCTTTGCCAAATGGACTTCTTGAATCAAGTAAATCAAAAAGCTGATTAATTGTTCTTATAAAATCTAATGTGCCTTGAGCATTAAAAATTCAATAGCATTAAAAATTCAATAGCATCTGCTACAGAATTACTAAGTGTTTGTGCAGCTATTTTTACATTCATTTTATGTCTCTGAAAACTAATATGGCTATTGCCAAGTTTATTAGCAAACTTTAAGCCAAGCTCCCCTTGCAAATTTTGCAGAACTGCAATGTGCTCCCACTTTACAAACCTATTTTGACTATCAATAAATACACCAAGTTCACACAAAGCATTTTGTGCAAGTTTTAGCATATGGCAAGGATCAGGAATAAAAAATATATTGTTATCATAAGATTTGATATTAAAATAAGTTTTAATATTTTCAACTTTATCAAATAAACAACCAAGACTTTTCATTGTACTAAAATTGACAAAAGCTCCATCACAAGTTATGCTGTGGACATCAATACCATGTTGAATACACAAATTAACTGCTTTAGTTAAAAGACAACTTAAGTTTTTTGTTGAAATCTTTTCATACAGAACATAACCAATAGGACATTTCCAATGACCTCGAAGAACATAACAATAGGACATTTCCAATGACCTCGAAGTCCAACAAGCATATATACAAGAGCCTCAGTAGCAATGCTATCTGGATCAAAAGCAGATATATTGTTTCCATAATCTGAAAAGCCTTCATAGTTACCATTACTTGGATTATAGACAAGACCTGATTTTATATGCATAGCATCAAAGATCAATGCACAATTTTCATAGGTAACATCTTCTGATCCTTTTTATTTTAAGAAAGAAAAAAACATCCTTAAAAAAACCAGGTGAACAATCAATAAACGATGACCAATTTGCTAGAGAACGAATGCAAGGCAAAGCAAACAATGATCTAACAAACGTATATGCATGAGGTGAATAAAAATGAAGCGTTAAAGCAAATTTCTTCACTTCTTCTGAATATCTGTAACCTCGAGGATCTTTGCATTTATTCATTAGTTCAGATTTAAATAAGTCACAAACAAGTCTAGAAAAGTTATTATCAACAAGTTGAGCTGCATCAGCTGATGAAAGCTTATCATTCGCAAGTTTTTTAATAATTTCTGTCAATGTATTTATTTTTAATTCTTTCCTTCTTAGCTTCTGTTTAAGAGTTTTCGCTTAAGTTTGACTTTGGATGAAGAATCGGCTTTATTATTTAAATTATCAATGGAATTTACACTAGTAAAAATATGATTGTTAGCAGAAGATTGCAAAGAAAGAGACCTCTTTTTTTTATTGAGTGTCTCGAATGTCTCAGTTACGTTAATAGAAATATGTTTTCTTTTGATGGCCTTTTTACAATCCATTTTCTCTGGAAAATTAAAGATAGATGGTACAACATTAGACTTTAAACGAGGTTTATTTGCATTTTCATAATAATAACCTTCTTTATGAAAGTATAATAATATATATACCATAATATATACAATAATATATATACCAATAAGATATAACCATTTCTTAAGTAACAAAAGTGAAATAAAAAAAATATAAACCTCCTTTACGTTTTTTGTCATTATTCAATATGGCCAAATTTGCCTCACAACCGCGCCTCGAGTTAGATATCTATTTAATATATATCATTGGTTTATGTACAAAACATATATGAAAAAATAAAAAACTTTAATGTTCTTAAAACATCTTGGTGCGAAAGAATAAAAAGAATATTCGCGAACACAAAAAACCCACCAAATTAACAAACAAACTCTATTGGTTCAAAAAATACACTAACTAAGGGTAATAAAGTTCTAGAGTATTCTGTTAAAATATTTTAGAAATTGTATTATTCACGATTTGTTATGTTTTGACAATATATATTATTTGTTTACAAAAATAAATGTTTTAAATATATATTAATTAAATTGTCAAAATTTTAAAAGTTTATTATAAATTATAGATTTTATTAGTATATTCTTATTTTTTATTTAAAAAGTATGTATCCCTCATGTAAATGTAATTTTGTTTATCTGTTTTTTATTGTAATGTATCTTTTAAAGCAATTTTTATGATTTAAACAAAGGCTTACAAAAATAATTGCATTTTCAATGAAGTTATAATCATTAAAGTTAATAAAAATAATTATGTAACAAACATATAAGAAGTTTCTGGTTACTAAACACAAACAACGCATACAAAGTAACTCGCGGAGGAACAAGCACCGCGCCTGAGGTCACAGCAGAACACAAATATATATATAGCAATTAATTAGATATAAAAGAAAAGTTTCTAGATATTGGTTTACTAACTCTAATTATTTTTGCTTAAACTGCCATTCTTAAAACTCGTTATACTTTTTTCTGCTTTAAATACTAATTAAAATTAAAAAGCCCACTCACTAAACATCATCAGCAATATTGCGAAGCAGTTTCGCTTCCTTGTCATAAAGTATTTTTAACCTTTTTAGTTGATTTCTATCTTGTTAATTTAATTTCTATAGTAATTCAAATGAAATAATTAATGATTTAATTATTTCATTTGTTTATCTTATTAAGAAGAACTGCTTCAAATATGTTAAACTTTTCAAACTATGCGAAACACAAAATAGGTATTAAAAAAATAACTTTTTTTATTTATAAAATAGTTTAGCTTAAATAAAACTAAAACTTGCAAACTTTGTTAAATAAAGAATATTTGTTTCCTTTTTAAACAATCGTAAGATGTTACTTTATATAACTACTTATATATATACTTATAATATACTTTATAAACATCACTTAGTTTTATTAAAAAAAAATTATAAAAGAGCTATTTTTTTAAAAATATTTGTTCTAAACTATATTTATTTAGCTTTAAGCTTTTTTGCATATAAAGATTTTTTTTTTTTTGTAATTGTCTCTTATCTGTCAAATTATTCTTTTGCGCTTTTTTTTTTTGCTTTTTAAAATGTTCTCAAAACGACTAAAAAATCTGGCCAGCTTTTTGCAACTAAATATTATTTAAGTGGTCAGCAATCGAGAGCGATTATAATATAAACTTTTTATATTATTTACTTTCTTTTGAGACCCAGCATAACATACATTTAGAGAAATTTGACTTGCCTGATGTTTAATTCATTTTGATGTTTGATTCATCAAAGTTGTTATACTTGCAGTTTATTAAAAACAAAAAATAGTAATATATTTTCATATTTAATGTAATGAACTACTGATAATGATAAAAAATGATAAGAAGCCAACTCCCTCTGATTGCTTGTAGGGGGTATTTGAGCTTGAAAAAGATCTTACTTCTGCTACAGCATGGGGCTCACAGTGGCTGGTGAACTTTAATTCAGATACAACTTAATTTTTTTCAGCCAATCATTATCGCAATAATTCAGACCTTCCTATATTTATGAATGGTAATGTACTCAATGAGGCATCTACCCTTCATCTTCTGAGATTAATTCTTACTTCTGATCTTTCTTCAAAACCTTATATATAATCCGTTGCAAAATTAGCATCTGCTGAAGTTGCATCTCTTTATTGAGCTCGACACTTTCTTACTCTGGGTTCTATTCTCTATCTCTATAAATCTCAAATACGACCTTGTATGGAATCCTGTTTCCATATCTACGGCAGATCTTCTAATAATGCTCTTTCTCTTTTAGACAAGTGCAAAAACACATTGTAAACATAGTTGGACTTGCTCTTGCTGCCAACTTTCAACCATTGTCACATTGTCATAATGTTGCTTCTCTTTCACTTTTCTACAAATAATATAATGGGCACTGCTCTAAAGAGCTAGCGTCTCTTGTGCTATCTACTAAAATTCATTCCCGTGTTACTCGTCATTCAATTAAGTCACATCCTTTTTTCTGTGACTGTTCCTAAGTGCTCCAAAAACTCTTATTCCTCTAGTTTTTTCCCTCAAACATCAGTTCTTTGGAATTGGCTTCCTTCATCTTGCTTTTCTGATTTATATAATTTGCAATCTTTTAAGTTGTCTGTCAATTGTTATCTTGCTCTACAATCTTCATCTTTTCTCTTCCAGTAACTTCCAACACTAATTAGTGGTTGCTTGCAGCTTTGTTGGAAGCAAAGATGTTAAAGAAATATATATATATATATATATATATATATGTGTATATATATATATATATATATATATATATATATACATATATATATATATATATATATATATATATATATATATATATATATATATATATATATATATATATACACATATTAATAATAATTATTAAGTATGAATTATCAGGAATTATCAAGTATTACAGTGCTTATTTATACTCTACACATTTTGATGTAAATAAAAAAATAGTATTATACAGAACTTTTTTTTAATTTTAAAGCAATATTATGTTTTAATACCGCAATATCAAATTTATATATATGTATCTATAATACAACTTTTTTGCCATAAATAACAGCATTTATAAAATACAAATGTAAACTATTAATCTTTATTAATTAATAAAACTAACCTCCCTCAATTTTCACAGGTAATTGATAAGGAATTAACAATCCCCACTTAACACCATTATATAAGTTGCGTTTTTGATTACTAATGACATCGTTTAACTCTTTTGTTCGTATTATATCTCCCTCAATAATGTCAATTCGTTTGTTCACATCTTCAGCTACATTTTTAAAAATAAAAAAAATTGCCTTCTTGACTATAGTAGTCTCAGCCTTGAGGAGATAAAATATATTTTAAAAAATAACAATAACAACTATTTATTTGCAGCTATGGTATTTGAAATAAGTTTCATCATACTAGAATAAGATAAAAGAAATAAACAAAAAAAAAAACCTTTTTGCTCTACTAACGCTTGCAGCTGTTTTTCTACAAAAGTCTCTGGATTTGTGATATCTAAAATATTAAGTTAATCTATTATATATATGTATATATCACCCCTCAGAATTAGGAAAAATGAGGTCTAACGAAATCTAACATTTTAAGGTCGGCAATAAATTGCTAACTTTAAACAGTTAGAGGTCAGCAAAAAAAAACTTGACACAAAAGGGTTACCTTATAACATAGAAACGAGGTCGGAAATTTTTTGCTGACCTCAAACACTTTTAGGTTGGCAGTTAGGCCAACCTAACTTTGAGAGACTTTATGCTCTCAAAGTCCTTTGAAAGACTTTGAGCTCTCAAAGTTTGGGACTTTGATCTAACTAGAGAAACTTTGGGCTCTGGGGAAGTTTTGTTAATGGGCCTTCATTATGATCAATCATACACCCAGGACGGCTAGAAGCGTGCTCTGGCCTCTAAAAATTAAAATTAATTGCATTTTTTAATCCCACCAAATCTACGAACAACTAGTTCTATTGGTTCAAAAAATAGCTTCTAGGAAAAAATCACCCGGGAAAAAATCTCGTCGAAATAATTTCCTGAGAGAAAATCCCCCCAAGAAAAAATCCCCTCAAAAAATATCCCCCCAAAAAAAAAAAAATTTTTTTTACTTAAAAATTATCAATAGGTAGCTATGTTTATATCTGTATTTATTTTAAATATTTATTTAAAATACTTCATTTTTCATCAAAATGTCAAGTTATGCGCTATTCCGCAAAGGTAGCGAATGTGACAAACTGCAAACTGGTAAAATGTTAACTTTTTTGCGAACCATCGTCGTATTGGTTGTTAATGGTGTAATACTTTATTTATCGTTTACCGTTAAAAAGTTAATTTAGCGGTATATTTTAAGCAAAAAATTATTTAAAAAAAAACTTTTAAGCAAAAAAACTATTTAAAAAAAAAATAAAAGGAAAATAAGTGAAACTAGACAAATACAATATGAAAATATTTTTATTTTTATTATTTGATAGACTGCCTGCCCAATCCAAACCCTCAGTCGATGTAACAGCACTCCGTTGCGAGTCAGGCTATTTGTCAGTCGATGTAGCAGCACTCCACGCTTTTTTACAGTTAAAAAATAAAAATTTTATTTTAAATAAAGCTTTAAAATAGATAATAAGGAAATGGAGAGTTTTTTTATTAATATTATTATCATAAAAATAATGGTCTTTAAAATATAATGCTTTAATTCACAAAAAAATTCGCATTTTACGGCTCGCAGTTTGCAGTTCGCAGTTCGCATTTTACCAACAACCGAGGAATAGCGCATAACTTCTCATTTTGAGGAAAAATGAAGTATTTTAAAAAACTATTTAAAATAGATAAATATAACTATTTTATTGATAATTTTTAATTTATTTTTTTTTTAATTTTGGGGAGGGGGATATTTTCCAGGGGGGACTTTTCTTGGGGGGGATTTTATCCGGAGGGATTTTTTCTTGGGGGGATTTTTTCTCAGGGGATTATTTCGAAGGGATTTTTTTCCAGGGGATTTTTTCCTGCTACCTAAAAAATACTAACCGAAATTTCTAGAGTATTCAAAAAATACTAACCGAATGTTTTTGAGTATTCTATTTTTTTTAAAAAAATTGTATTATTTGAGTTTTGTTATGTTTTCGTTAAGATTTCTAGCATAAATTGTTTTCAGAATATCAAACAAACTATTATTTTAAGTCTCAGAGCCACATCAACAAAGCTAAAAATGTTTTAAACTAACATTTGTTTATAAAAATAAATGTTTTAAATTTATATTTTTTAACTTGCCATCGTTTTGTAAATATATTATAGATTTTATTAGTATATTCTTATTTTTTATATATAAGGGATGCATGTAATGTATTTTTATGTATATAATGTATTTTTATGTATGTATTTTTTATGTATGTAACTTTATGTATGCGTATTTTATTCAAATGAAATCTTTTAAAGCAATTTGTGAAAAGTTTTTAAGTTCTTAGAAATTGGTTTACTAACTTCAATTATTTTTACTTCAGCCATTCTTACAAACTCCTTATACTTAAACTTAAAGTATAACGATATATTTTGTGTTAAATACTAATTAAAATTATAAAGCCCATTCACTAAACATCATCAGCGTTATCAGGCCTTCAGATGAATAAATCGCATAAGCGCGACGTGTTTTTTGACGTAATTAAATTCTTTTTATTTGCTTTTCATATTTATCAACATTAACTGCACCAATTTACTTAATTACAGCAAAACTACTTTAAATCATTAATGTCAAAATGTTATTATTTAAAAATGTTTTGGAATATTTCGGTTTTTAAAATGTAAAAACCTTTGTTTATTTTCTTGAAGTTTGACACATTTTGTCTATACTAAACAAATAAAAAACATTATAAAAAAGATTATAAAATATGCTAATATTTGATTTTTTTTTTCTCAAATATAGAATTTAAAGTTTTTCAAATAATTAATTTTTCTTTTTAAAAAGTCAGCAAGTAATAAACTGGAAAATTTAATATTGTACGATTAAAAACTGTGCAATAGCTAATATTTTTACTAGCGATTTTATACAATATTTTTTAATTTATTTATTTTTATATATTTTCATAAAGCGGTTGATAAGCACAATCACTCATTTTTTAATGTTTACAAGGAATTTTTTTTGATAAATTTTTGGCAAAATAAAATAAAATAAAATGTTAGAATAAAAATCTTATAGGTATAAAAGAAATATTTCAGCAAAAAAATTATTCTTAAAAATTATTATTAAAAATTCTTCGAAAAACTATTGACGTTCAATTTTTCAGCAGCTGTTCTTGAGCACGCTTCATTGAGTTTCGGTAACTTTTAACAGAAAAGCGATTGGTATTATTAAAGTAATTTTTTTCAAGTTACTTTTTACAAAAATTTTAATAGCTGTACTTTTTTATTAATTCAAGTAGAATACGTTTTAATATTAACCTTTTATTTTTTTATTTGCGCTTACTAATTTTTAAAATGTTTCCTCGAAATTACTCATAAATACTTTAAATACGTCTAACAGTTAATAAATACTTTTAAATCTATGGAATAATTTTAAAACCTAACAAACCCCCATAAAATAATTATTTAAGTTAAAAATCTAAAACTAAAAGAAAGTATTCTTGTTCAATTTTATTGACAACTTTGCTATTGCTGAATAATTTTATTAAAATGTTAGCTTAAAAAGATTTAAAAAAAAGATTTAGAAAAAATTAAAAAAAAAGCTTAAAAAACTTCTTTTATTATCTGAATTTTTTCTACTTGTAAATAATGAGCATATTTAATTTTTTTGTAATTCAAACTTTTATATCAACTGCGTGCGGTTTTTAAAATACTTTATTAAATGTTAAAATAATCGTAAATTACTTCATTAAAATTCCGCTCAAAAATATCTTTAAATATACTCGAACAAAAAATTTTTTGCTCGACGCAAATAGCCCTAGCTACACGCAAAATCGCTCTTGGACGACGTAAAATTCACATCGCCCGACGCTTTATCGCAAGGCCTGCGTTATTGTGAAGCAGTTCCGCTTCTTCATCACAAAGTAATTTAACGTTTTTAGTTAATTTCTATCTAGCTAAATGAATTTCTACAGTAACTCAATGATTTAATTATTTCATTTGTTCATCTTACTAAGAAGAATTCTTTCAAATGTGTTAAACTTTTCAAACTACGCAAAGCGTAAAATAGTTATTGAAAAAACTTTTTTATTTATAAATAAATCATCTAGCGTTAGTTTTATTGGTTGAATCTTGTTGGACTTTTCAGGGCCGGAGGCCGCATTATTTTTGTGGGCTTTTTTATATGCCACAGCGTAAAAATGACTAAAAAAAAATACCAAATGGTCCTCATAACTATTTTGCGGCTTCTAACATTGTGAGTTCTGGGGCTATAGTCCTTTTACCCCCCCCCCATCTCCTCAATCAGCACTGGAACTAAGTCATAAGTGTATAAATAAAAATTATATTTACTCTTCGATAAATCAAGTAACATTTGTTTCCTTAATAAACAATCATTAATAGTAAGTTGCTACTTTATATAAAAAATGTCGCTTAGTTTTATAAAAAAAATTATAAAAGAGCAACGTTTCAAAAATATTTGTTCTAATCGTATTTATTTTGCTTAAAGTTTTTTCGCGTTAAAAGCAATTTTTTTTTTCTAACTGTCTCTCATCTGTCATCTTTTTTGTTTGTTTTTGAAATGTGGCGGGTTTTTCACAACTAAATATTATTTTCGTGGTCAATTATCTAGTACAATGGCACCCGCTTCCCGACCAAGCCTGCTAAATATATTGTATAATTTTTGTATAGTGTCAAAAAATCTTACAACTTGAATGCAAGATTCTGCTGCATGAACACCACATAAATTTAAACATACACAAGGAGAATATATTGCCACTGGATTAATTTAGAAAATGACAGCTTTGATACCATTATATTCATATAAAGGATCATGATCCACTTATTTTGGTTCCGATATCATTTCCTTGTGCACAACAGTCACTTAAAGAAATATTATACCTTTGTAGCGTTTTAAGAATTAAATTAGCAATATATTTTCCAGTCTTCTTACAAAATGCAGGAAATCTTTCCACAATTACGAATCTGTATATAACTTAATAGTAACATACCGTAAAATGAATGTAGTTTGTACTGTATGCGCAGAATTAGGTGTTGAGTTTACAGTCTATATATTATTGCAAAACTTAATAGTATTGGTAGTGTTAGTGCTCATTCAAGGCTGTTTGACACGGAACCCTTGGCAGCCATTGCAACCGAGGTAGTGACAAGAAAGAGTCGCAGCACTTAGTTTTAAAAGAAAAAAGGAACAAACATGTATGCAAATATCTAACATACGCAAACTTCAAATTAAATAATATTAAAACATTTGGAAACATTTATCAAGTTTTAGAGTTTGACTTTCACCTGAAAATTGCATTGCCTTAAGCTCTCCTTAATTTTGATCTATAACATTTATTTCTGCTAAAAAAATCATTTTATAGTTTAACGTTAATTATAAATACA